TGATAAATATACTGATCATAGGAACAATCATATATGTATTTTTATTTGTTTATTATTATTATTATTATTACTGAAAAAATAAAATTTCATTTTTGTAATCGAATAATTTTGGTTACAAAATGAAATATTCAATGATGCAATCTTCAAAATTAAAAAGAATTCAGCAAATAATTAATGAAAATAAAATCACTGATAAAAAAAAGAAATTTTTTTTGCAGTGTATGACAAAATGCATTAGCTTATCAAACAATTTTATACGAAAAAGTTTGTTTTAACACACTAAAAATCATTTCCATCGTGCAATTCGCATGTTTTTGAAGTTTTCGATTAAATTTGAAATCAATAAAAATTCAAAGTAATTATTTTATATTAAGTCATTCTTGCACAAATTTTCAAATTAACACATGCAAATGTTTAAATTTATTGATGATATTAACAATTTAATTACATTTTTTTAATTATGGAATTTAAGAAATAATTTATAGCAATTAAACGTTTCATCAGAATGTTTCACCGAAAGTCTAATTCGTTTACTATTTACCTACTGAACATTTTAATAGTAATAACATTTCAAATGAGAAAAATTAACTTTTTTAGATATATGTTTTTATTAATTTATTTAAATGATGGAATATTGTTAGCGGCTTTAAAAATTATGTGCAACTATGAATTTAGATTGGAATGACAGATAGATTATTATTAATTAATTAGTAAATTAGTAATGTCAAATTAGAAGAGATAATGTCAAATTCTCTGGATATTAATTTAAAAACTATTAATTAGGAAATGAAAATGAAAAAAGAAATGAATTGTTTAAGTTAATTTAATTTAACTTAACTTAACTTATCGTTGCATTCATATTGATATAACTGCTTTAAAATTAGACACAATATTACTAATTGAGAGAAAATTTTCCAATATACTAATTACTATTAAATTTATCTAAATTTTCTCCTAAATGCATAATTGCCATTTTTAAAAAAAAAAAATATTTCATGAAAATGCAATCTATTTTTTCTACAATATACATAAAAAATTTAGAAAAAATTATAAGAAATTTTGTAAATTTTAAATTAGCCATACGTAAAGATAAATAATATTAGCTCGTTGCAATTTATAATTATCAGTTCGAATAAGATCAAAGTTCCTTAAAAAGAGAATTCAACTGAGATCAAAGTTTATTTTTTTTATAAAAAAGAGATAATATGTCAAAATAAAAAGTTTAGCACTTTTCTTTTTTCTATCATTTTAATTTTTTATAAATAATAAATAATGAATGATTTTTGTCGAGCAATTTGATATATTTGATAAGATTAAAAGTTAATTAGTGATGACGACAAAATGACAAAGTATCAAATTACCTGTTGGTTTATTATTATGATTATTGGTCATTTAAAGGTTATTATTACCAATCACTTAAAAAATATGATTATCATTGCCATCAATCAAAGAAATTATCTCTACCAATCAATTAGTCAGTTATGAGATTAGTAATCAGTTAAGAGTTATAAATGCGTATTAATTAAAAGTCAAAATCATTTATCATTTTAGGAACATTATTGCTAGTGATCAACTGAAGCACATGATCACTAATCAGTTAAAGATCATGATTACATGTTCATTTAAAAGCACTGTTATCAGTGAGATAAGATTATCGATCAGATCAGTTAAGGATTCTAATTGCTTTATGTGTAAAGATTGTTCATCGTTTGCATTTAATTAATTATTATAATTCTACGCTAAATGCTAAAATGTTGCGTCGTGCGTTATTCATTTTTAACTTTTATGATTAAATATATTATTTGACATAATTTTAATATTATTTATGTATTTTTTGAACAAAAAATATTTATATGAGATATTTTTAATATTTAATTTAAACGATTAAAAGTTTGTTACACGTTAAAACGCTTCCTAAATTACACTTCACGTAAACAGTTAACAAATAAATATTCCAATACGTCAAACATTTTTGTTATTTTTGAAAATAATTTCAATTTCATCAACTAATTATATCCGTTCATTTTATTTTTCATCACAAATCATTAAAAATACGAAATATATTTGGAAAAGAAAAATTCTTCGCATTGAACAGAAATTTCATTTGATGGCAAATTTGATGACAATCGTTTAAAAAAATATTAAAAAAAATGGAGCAGAGAATTTGGAAAAAAAAAAAAAAAACTGGATTACAAAAAATGAAAAAAAAAAAAAAAGAATTATTTGAAATGAAATGTGATGGAACTATTGACATTGTTGTCATTAATAATTTATTAAAGATACGAATATTAATTGATTTCGATAATAAATTTTTCAATTATAATTTCTCTAAAAACTATTATTGCAGCGATTTTTTTTTTCAATATGCAAATGAAGTTCGAAAATTTTTTCATTTTAAATTTAATTTTTATCATTTATTTCCATTTCCAAAATTTGTTATCAATATTTTAAGATCTCTTCAAAATTTGTAAATATTAGGTACAACATTATATAATCGATAAATGATCATAATGAGAAATTTAAAAAATTTCTCTTTTTCTTGTCGTTTTTTCATGCATCGGAAAAAGTTTTAAAAAAGTTTAAAGTGTTTGAATAAAGAAAAATTTTTCAATGATTTCAATTAATCAAACTACAAATGTTCAATTGTTTGTGAAAAATATTTTGCAACTGATTTATATATAAGTTTTTATTTTTGTAATATTATTATTATTACTTGATAATATTTAATTGATTTAAAATATTACAATTATATGATTTAAAATAATATTGCGTTATTATTAATATAAATATGATGGAAATAAAATTAATGTAAATTTAAAAAAAAAAAAAATTCAGTGCAATAGTATTAAAATTATTATAAAAGTTTCACTTCAGAAAAGTAAATTAAATAAGATCAAATGTACAATAATAAAATCATATCATTGATTTAACAAAAAAAAAGAACAAATCAATATTTTAAAATTATTTATTTTTTTCAGAAAGATTCATTTAATAACAAAAAAAAAAAGGTATTTTCTTTTCAATGAAAATAACAAAAATTCGCCATGTATTATTAGTTGCATCGAAGAGAAAATTTTCAAAAAAAAATAAAAGAAAAGATAACAAAAAAAGAAGAAACTCGCTTTCCTTCTCAAATTATCTTTTTATGTCCGACAAAAATAAAATTTAGAAAAAAAAAGAATAGAAAAAAAAGTTGAAAAAATCAGTATTTACCATTTTTAAAAGTATTTTTCTCCTTTTCTTTTCAATGAAACTATTAATCAATGAGAAAACACAAATGAATTTAATCGAATTTAACTTGAAAACAATATAGTATTACTTCAATGAGAAATATTCGTTGCAATTTAATTCACAATTGATTGAAAAAATTAAATTAGTGTTAGTGTGAAGCGAAGAAATTCAATAACAAATGAATGATCACTGATATATTTGCTATGAATTCAACAAAACAAAATAGAGTAATTAATTCGAAATTTTATACTATCATTAATCAATAGAATGATAACAGAAATTAGAAAAATAAATTCAATGATTAGAGAGTGATATGCTTGAAAATCAACAAATTTTAGTGTTAACTTATAACTTATCCATTCGAAGAGTGATATTATGATAAATCAATACATTGAAGTTATCCAGCTAAATCATTTATGCAAATTTATCACTGACCAGTTCAATCAGTGATCGAGCTGCACTGACATCGACATTGACATGACTTGACCATCTGACCAGGACCATTTATGTAAATAAAGAAGATGAAATTGTTGAAAAGAAAGTTAAATCTTACCAGAAATGAAAGTTTCAGAGAATTATTAAGAGCAATCGATGAAAAGTTATTGACGACTGATTAATTGATCAGTTGATTGATACTGAAAGAATGTCATATATCGTTGTTTGTCCTCGCCGAAATCACGCTTGTCCTTGTGAAAATTTCTGTGAAATGACCATTACATTTGGTTGTGAAAATTTCTAAAATTGTCCTTTAACAATGATGGTTGACAGGAAAAAAAGATGACAAAGTGTACATTTGAAGAAAAAAAAGAAAAGAAAAATTATTTTAATTCTTATCGTTTCATTTTAAACTCACAACATTTGTTATTTTGCACTAATTCTTTTATTTGTTTTTTTAAACAAAATTTAATTTTTTTTCCCGAGATATTGATGAAAAAAGGAATGAAATAATGGAAAAATTAATTGCAATCCATTAATTAACAATTAAATTGATTAAATTTTAATTCTTAATCAATGGCTAATAATTTTACTGGTTGGTTGGAGTTTTTTTTTTTTTCAGCAATGATATATTTAGCTTTGATTAGTATTTCTTCTTATCAAAATATTCCACTTATCACTGTTATCCAAGTTTAATAATTTACCAATATATGTGTACATCGAATTTCCAAAAAAAAAGAATGCAAATACATTTCATTCCTCTGATTCCATCCATACAAATATGATTCAAAATTTATTGTTTAAATTTTAAAGACTATACTAAGAATGACAAAATCTTGAATCTGTCATATGTCACATAGAATTTCAAATTTTGCTTGTGTAACTTTCATTTTCAAGCAGTAAACGAATGAAATATTAACTCTCCGAGTGTATTTTATTTCCTTATAGTTTGAGCTTCTAATAAACCCCACTGATGAATAATGATTATAAATTAACTCATCCCACGTCTAATCTTATCCATTTCAAGAAATATAACTTTAACTTCCCGTATAGTTCATTTCATATCTCTCAATAATTACAATTTCAGCTAATCAACTTCGTATGGGACGCATCAGTTGCAAAATGTTCCTATATTTGTAGACCGTCCTTCTGTGAAATATTGATTGTTTCTGAGTGGAGAGTGTATGGTGAAATAGGAGAATTAGGTGGTTGAAGAGTGATTTTCTGGAAATGGTAGGATTGGTTACGATGGAGATTGGTTGTTTTGGGTGGCGAGTCAGGTTAACCTGGTGCACTTTCGGGTAGTTGTGGGCAGGTAGCTGTCCAGTTCCGGAATGACAAGTTTGTGTTCCACGTCTAATTCCGTAACATGTGCTTCGACATCCCTAAATTCGATTAATTTGGTGGATACGTGGGGAAATGGTACACTGATGGTGACAATGAATTCGCAGTGGGTAATTAAAAAATTGAAATGTTGAAAATTTCTTGCCTTACGGGAATTTCATTCTGATTAGCATTTTTAGTGGACACTGGAACATTGGCATTTTTGATTTGACTTACTAGGCTCTGTATGCACGTGGTTCAAGCATATCAAGTATCTAATGTTGTTAATTTCTGACATTCGCGCTTTATTTTGTGTATTTACTGTTTGAAGATCTCTAAACATATGAAGTGGAAATTTTTTGCTGTTTTTGAGTAATTACTTGATGTAAGAATGAACGTTTCTGGGGTTTCTATGGTGATGATGAAGAATTGAGGGCATAAACATTGATATCAATGGAACTGTGTTTCTCTTTAAGGCTTTTTTTCTTTCAACAATGGTTTTGGTAGATGGAAAAAGGGTAAAAATTGTGAAGAAACACAGGCGTCGGTTCACGAGGCACGAATCCGATCGTTACCATCGTTTGCGTCCAAACTGGCGAAAACCAAAGGTTTGCTTTTACCATGGCAGTTTTCTCACGAGAAAAAAAAAACTGCTGTTTATCTTTTTGCAAGATTAGTGTTAGATTATGTGCAACACCTAAGTATTCATTGATTTAATTCTCTCCCTGATAAGGTTAAAATTTGCCATATTTCATGGTATTAGGCAGAAAGGTGATGAAGAAGAAAAGGATGGGCTTTTCCTTTTTTGATGAATTTATTCAAAGGTTGCTAATCATTGTTACATTCCATTAAATTTTACAGAAGTTAAAAAACCAATAATAATTATATTCTGACAATTGATAAGAGAGTCAACAGGGTGCTTGAATCGAAAGCCCTAGTTTGACTTATCCAATATATATACACTCTGTTAATATGTGAGGAATTTACTATTAAAAAGATTGTTCTGTTACGGATTTACAGTTATAAGGGAAGATTATTTTTAAATTTTTTTTCTTTTTCTTGAAAGCTAGAAAATGTTTTTTTAAGGGTATTGATAATCGTGTCAGAAGGAGGTTCAAGGGACAGCGTCGCATGCCGAAAATTGGTTATGGTAATGCTAAAGCGACACGGCATATGCTGCCAAACGGATTTAGAAAAGTATTGATACATAATGTTAAGGTTGGTTTGCTTTACAATGTGCTATAATTTTTTGGTTTTCCTGGAAGTACGAATGTTGTCTATGGCAGTAGTAATCCTGGAGCATATGTCATTATAAGGTTTGCATAAGTTGGTTGGAAATTGTGAAATTTTTCAGTTAAATCTCGTGCCAAGGCTTATATCACTACTAACACTGTTAACATTAGTGACAGGGTTGGTGGATTTTTAGGATTTGGATATGTTGTTGATGCAAAATAAGAGATTCGCTGGTGAGGTGGCGCATGGCGTATCATCAAAGAAACGAAAAAGTATTGTGGAACGGGCACAACAACTTAATATCAAATTAACTAATGGACATGCAAAAATCAGATCTGAAGAAAATGAATAAATTGAACTCATTGGGGTTGGGTGATGGCGAAGGTTATTAGAAGTCCTTCCCTGAATATTTTGTTTTGTATGTCACTTTTGGATTTAAGTAAAGTACTGTTGCTTCTTTGTTTCATATTACGTGATGATGAGATGGAAATTATACAATAAGAGTTCTTTATTTATGTCATCATTCTACTTGTTATAGTAGGTAGAACATGGAATTTTGAAGCAGACTGAACTAGCTTCATTACAACATTTTTCGATCCAGTGATAGTTATTTATGAAACAGTTATAACGGGATGTATGCACAAGAAAATGGATATCACGTAATAGGATATCCCCAGAGCGGGAAAAAATGTTACAACCGAAAATAACAGACTGATATACTGGATAAGAAACCGGTTACACCACTCCCTATTATTTCTCCCGTACATCTTTCTGGTCGGTAGGATGAAGAATTCATATATGTTTATAGTGTCCTTTGTAACTTGACAAAGTTGTAAGCAAAACTTTCAATTGGACTGATTTACTAGCTCGTCACGGTCAATGCCACTAGTCAATGAAACGCCCACAGGGAATATATTTCGGACACCTCTGAGTTGGGAGGAATGTGACACTTTCACTATTTGATCAACAGCAATTTGAGTACTGTTATTTTCTGTGTGGTCTGACCTCTCGATACTGTTACCTATTCTAGTGTAGTTAAATTACATTACAGGGAAAGTGTACAATAAATTCAAGCTTTAAGCGGCTTGAAGGAAACAAAGAACGTTCAACAAAATTTACACTGGGAATCTCTAGTTTGCTAAACAAAGTAGGGGATCATTGTGGTAGTTTACGTGAACATTGGCGAACCTTCATACTTCTTGACTTGGCAACAACGTCCTGAGTGGAATGTCTTGTATCTTTTTGCTTCTAAAACTATGAACATTGTCTCTCAAATTATGTCAAACTCTACAGTAAAACATAGAAAATCCATGGCTGAATTACTCAAGAAAATCAAATTTGAATGATGAAACCTCGATATGTCCATTTGCACTAACAAGGCCTGCAGATTTCGTGTATGACGTGATCTTAGTCTGATTCAGCACCTGAGATAAGGATTTGCGGTGATGCATAAGAGAATTTTTACAAAGTGAATCATCTACTCTGCTGTACGACTGACTGTTCCCATCCAGACCTGCAATTGTTCGTAGTGCAATATAGCTAGCTATTTGAAAGACAATGCATTAAAATGCTGGGAAAGAAAGCGACCATTTAGAAGTGATCGAATGCAAATGCTATATCCAAAAGAAATCATGCACAAATGTGCCAACATGCGATAACATCTTACTGAGATGTTGAAAAACTAAAATCATAAAATAAAAATTTGAATACTTACTTCCCTTTTCAATAACTTTTGAAGCAGCTTTCAACAATGAATTTGTTCCCTTTATTGAAGAGCTTTCACCATGTAATTTAGCTTCCTGGAAACAGGAAAACTGACTTAGAATACGATAGAAAAGATAAATTTCGCAATAAATGTTTTTGAGATGCAAAAAATGAGGTTGCCAGTACACTAATCAAGTTAAAAAGTAGATCAGTAAATGATTACCCCTTCTTTTATCTTCCATTTCGATATCTCCCGACGTCTCTTACACAACTCATCCTCATTGACTTCAATATTTTCTGTGTCAATAGTTACTTCTTCAATTTCTTTATCTGCATCCTCACTTTTTTCTAGACGTAATTTGAAGCGGAAAGTGCGGTCTGTTTCATCCGCGAGTTCGCCATCAACAAGAAGTTGATCTTTCCAGTACAATAATTTCCTATCCTCCTCATCCTAAAAAACACCTTGATTTCCATATTGATACAATCAATTTAAAGTGAACGCCTGATAGAATTTATAAAAAGCAGAAAATCGTTAAAAAACTAACTTCATTGCAAAACTATTCCAAAAACACGACGACAGCATGAAACAGAAACTTACTTGCTGCTGTTTTAACCACTGTTTATTAAGCTGTTCTCTGATAGTTTCATCGTCTGGAAGTTCATCATTATCTCCTTCCTCTGCCTCATAAACATTTAGCTGATCTTCATCATCATTTTCATCACTTCCCACGTCATCTCCTGATAATGAAGCCTCTTCCTCGATGTATTCGGATCTGAATGGATTGTCTATTCACTTCATTCTATCTAGTTTTCATATACAAGAAAAAAAGAATCAAAACACTATAAACACTGAAATTATAAACCTCTTCTTCCGTCCTTGTGCAATCTGCAATTTATGAAATACTTCCAGTTCATCATCGCTGGAATCTGTTCCCTCCATCCTTTCAATTCGCTGATCCTAAAAATGTTTCATTTTTATATTCGTAAATCAACTCATAAAGTGAAAATTTTCGGTCAGCCAGTCCTTAAAGTGATGGTTTTTAATCACTACTTTTATATGAATGCTGCAGTAACATTGACACTCGTACAAGTTTAACGATTAAAAGTATCATACATCTTTTGCAGAGGTCTAAAATGTGTCCACTTTAATCATATGGCCAAGCTACCTACATAATGATGTTGCTTCATTAGTAAAACCCAAAATCCAGAGAAAACAGATTTAACCACCTCATCCATTGTTTTATCAATCGGCCAAGTAACACCTCTCTTATGACCATTACTTTTGTCAGCAAATAGAAAATTGTCCTTGTCATTAACTTCGAAGTTATCATTTTCGTTTAGTACAGCATTAATACCATCACAACTATGTTCCTTCTTGTGATCTGAGGTACAGCAAGCTTCAGTACGTTCTCCATTTGCAGCTTGAAGATCCTGAACATTTTTTACTGACTTCAGAGCACTTCCACCACATTTGCCTTCTTCATCTTCATCGCTCTCATCTGATGAGAACACCAAGCGACGTTTTCTAGGCTTCCTATTTTGTCTTACTAATTCTCCTTCATCTTCGTCATCCCTGTCGTCACCACCACCATTACCATCTATCGAAATCCTAAGTTAGGTTGAATTTATAAAACAGTGTTATAAAGCAGACCATAATAAATCATCTGAATTCAAATCAAATCGTAAATAACACTTTTCAACGAACTTATTATACTCTTCAGGACTGTTGTCTTCAGGATAGTCGAAAATACCAGAGCAATTTGCAGCAATATCACTTAGTAGTTCATCGACAAGACTTGGTGAACTTCTGTTTCCTTCTTCCGAATCTATTATTTGAATTAGTTTTATATTTATTTTTGCAAAATAAAAAAAAATGAACTGTTTCAGAACTAATCTTTATTCGTGAAATTTTACAATTCCATGTCTCAAGGATCGTAAATTATTGCTGTAGTTGAGAAAATCATAAACAGATATTGAGTTACAAAACAAATTCATGAAGTATTGCACTACTAGTACAGATCAATGTACCAACCTGTTGTTTCACCCGATAGATTAGACGAATCCGTTTCGTTGTCTGATAAATAACTAAAATTATATAGTTTCAATTTAAAACTGTAAACACCTTTTATAGTTTTCTGCAAATGATTCAAAGATTATCACACTAATACTGTGGTCCTAACTTTTTACTGTGATTCGATCTTGCAAAAATATGCACACTGAAATGTGGAAGGAATCTACTAAAAATTTGTGCAACATATCATAAAGTGATAACTGAGGTAGCTGTCAAAGGATTTCTTTCTTCAATTTTGAGAACATTTATCAATTTGTCGACTTGATAACGCAGAAGAATTAGAAATCTCAAAAATAACACAGACAGCATGTTTTTTTCAAAAACATTTTAATGTCATCATGGATTGTGACGAACCTCGCATGATTTTTAAGTTTCGTTAGATTTTTGTAAGTTTTCATTCCGGACTGTAACCAATCCTTTCGCCAGTCTTCATCGGATGTGTTTCCCTAAAAGTTGATGAGAAAAATTGAGTTTCCAAAATCTGAATGACTATACTTTACAAAATTCAAGATATTTCAATAATACCAGACTTATCAAGCTAAAAAAGAAAGACATACAAAAGCCTTTGCGAAAATTTATTATCACTGTCTCCACTTACATTCCTGTTTCTGTCCTTACTTAATTCGATGTTATCATTTTCTTTTGCAACTTCTTCCTCAACTTTATTATATTTATCTTCGATATTTGTTTTCTCTCCATTTATTTCTCTCCATGTATCACTGACTGTCTCATTATCATCATTATATGATTCAGCTGCTTCGTGTTCTATTAAATCACACTTGAGCTTTTCAACCTTCTCCTTCACTACTTCCTTATTCTCTTGCGATTGCTCGCTAAAATTCCATTCCGACGCTTTCCTTTCTTCATTAGTACGTTTGCATGCACCCTAAACAAAAGCAAGCAAGGATTAAAAAATTATTTAAATGATAGCCATCATCAACTACTATCGCGCAACCCACATTTATCTATCTCAGTAGCTTAAATCCTTGAAAAATTGATGTAGCAACAAAATGAAATTAAAAATATAGAATAACATATCACCGATCTGTCCAACACAATGCCGTTATCAGCATTATACAATGCCCTACGCTTCTGTTGGCCACGTCGTCGTAATTCTACCAACTGCTTCATCAAAAACTTTTGTACATCTGCATGTGTAGTACCTATAGCACAAAATGACGTAAAATTTCCGAAAAGTAACATTAAAACATGGATCACTGATTTTTCTTTGTTGTTAATAAAAATTAAGAAATATATTTCTCTGTAAAATTAGTAAAAAGCTTACCTAGTGATAAATAGTTTCCACATTTTCCACTCCTAAAAGAAAAAACAGTTATTAAAAAATCGGAATTTTGGACAAGTGATGGTTGTGAACTAAAAAAAACATACCAATCAATAAAGTGGGTTTTGCTTTTTGGATTTATTCTTTGTATAAACCACTCATCGTCCGAATTCGATTTTTCCTGAACACACACCAGTTAATTCTTAAATCTGTTTTCTAATAATGAGACCTAATCACTGATAGAAGTCCCCAATCTCTCCCAATGAGTTTTATTATGTTCTTTTTATCGATTAGT